TATATATATATATATATATATATATATCCGTCAATTATTCTAATTGTTGCCCTTTGCTGAAGTTAAGAGCTTTTTTTTTGTTTGTTTGTTTCAGAGCAGCTGAAGGAGCTCGATTACAACAATCAAAATAATTGAATCTGAATAGATGCTGAATGATGCTGAGGAGAAAAAAAGCGAGGAATGAAAAATCTGTAACTGATGGGTCTTATTGTCTGTCTGTTAGTAAAATATCTCATGAACCTCTGGACAGATTTTAATGAAAATTGCAAAAGGCAATCATCGTACATCTACAAAAGATTCACGTTTGGAGTCAATCCGATTTCAGATGGCTGCCACAGCCAACTGACCTTAAAAAAGGCTTAAGAGCAGTTTATTTTTTAAATTATTGTGTTAAAATTTGCTTCTGCAACACATAGTTTACTGTTAGTGCAGGAGCTTTGTTGGAAACTTTACTTTGAACTATTTGGAGTCAACTCGGTCTGTTAGCAAAATATATCACGAACCACTGGATGGATTGTAATAAAAAAAGAAGTAATAATGGTGTGTACATAACTGATTAATATTTGTACCCACAGCCTAAAAACTGAGCTGTATTATTATAGCTTGCAGATATTTTTGCTCATTTTTGATAGCTGAGAGTTGTCATGAACTGTTTGAGTCAACTGTGTGTGTCTGTTAGCAAAATATCTGATGCACCCATGTGCAGATATTAATGACTGCTTCAGAACGGAATGGATCTTCAACTCATTTATCTTTGGGGAGTCAGATCAATTTAAAATGACCGCCACAAATAATTGACATTACCCAGCACCAAGTCAGTCAGACTAACAGATACTGAGCTAAGGTTTGATGTGGAAGTAGCTGAGAGTCATTCACAACTCTTACTCTGAGCGTGGCCGCGCGTGATGATGTTACTGTTAAGGTTTGACCAAAACAGCTTTAACTCCGTGTTTCATTTTAAAACTCTAGCCTGAAAGGCGGCGGGTGACATGCATTCATTAAAGGAATGCTCCGCCTTAATTGACTATTATTCTCATTGTTAATGCCAGTTTATATTTGAAACATTAAGCATGCATGAAATGGGGATAGTGGGATGAAACTGGACACTGCATGCGTTTCAAGACGTGATAAGGAAAATCTCATATTCAAAAAATATTTTATTTCTGAAATGCAAAACAATTTGTGCAAATATTAAGTTTTACATACATACACACAAAGCAAACAAACAAACAAACATATTTTTCTAAATGAGTGATTGTAAGCCAGAGGTGTGTGTGTGTTTGTGTGTGTGTGGTGTGTGAGCTGCAGGCGGAGCGGACTGTTTGAAATGCGCCGCTGCGCGCGCTCTGCGTCCCGCGCTTGAAGTAAATTGGAAGCGAAGATTGAGTTCATCGTGGCTTGAACCAGCAGCTCTCCGGAGGGAAATCCTCCCCGGGAGAGCGGGATGAAGTGTGTCAGGAGGATCTGCGAGCCCGGACTCCTAATCCCAGCTGTCAGCGCCGGGGACAGGAAGGAGCTACAGGTGATCCGGGGTCCCGTGGATCAGACCCGGACACGCGTCCTGTGATCATCCTCTCTGTGGTTCCACGGCAGCTCTCAGCGGCAGCTGGAGTCCTCTCCACCTTAATATTGAGTTGTTTCAGCTCATGAGTGGAGGGTGGTGGTGGTGGTTGGGGGGGGGGGGGGGGGGGACAGGTTTTTTTTTCAGCTTCATTTATGAAACGAATCACTTTTACTGAAATGAAACCAGCACTGCTTCATCTTCAAACTCTTCAGGGTTGTTATTGGGCGGGGGGTGTCCTGCTTGGACCCCGGGGTGCCCCCTCAGTGAGCTTATGTTCTCCGCAGGAGCAAAGTTCCTCCTCTCTGGAGATATTTTCATGTCAGACCCCTCTTCCTCCTCTTCTTCCTCCTCTTCTCTCAAGGATGCTTTCCTCCTCCGCGCGCTCCCATTGGCTCCCGGTGAGCCTGCGCCGCGGTGACGTCACGCCCCGCCGCCCCTGCAGCGCTGAATGGACCTGTGCAGTCTGCTTTGAGCCATACACTCCAAAAAAAATAATAATCCCAGCTCAGTTACGGCGCGGTGCAGCGCGGCACGGCACGGCACGGACATCACCCTGGGACTAGAGCAGGAGCCGCGCGGGGGGGTGGGAGAGATCGACCGGGACAGAGTGGAAACAGGCCCGAAAACATCGGCGACATTTCGTTCTTTTTATTGGTTCTTTTTATTTACATTTGGCACGCACGGCAGGACGAGGGGGAGGAGTGCGCGCACCGTGTTGCGGGTGTATGTGCGTGCGTTTGGATCACGATGATGCAAAGTGCGGCGGTCCTACCGACAGAGAGTCCTGTGAAGAGTTTACCGGAGATTCTCGGAGTGCCACTGCAACGTAAGACATTTTTAATCAAATAAATGGATACGTGCACACATCCGGTGTCTTTATGAGCGCATGAGGTCTGTCTGCAGGGGAGGGGGTGGGGGGCTCGGAGCCTACAGGCCACTGCTGCCTTAAGACAATTCTTTAATGAACATCAGCCGTCATCTGGAATTATCCATGTCGCGCACTAAAAAATACACTTTCTTCACTCTAACGTGTAAAAAATGACAATATGAGATTTTGCAGCGTAACAGTAGAAATGTTGCTCCCAGCTGTTAATGTGTGAAGCATCAGGAGATCAGGACGTGGTTGTCATCATCCTCCATCAGATCAAACACACTCTGACTGTGACTCACTCAAATTAAACACCTCACACGTTTGATTCCACAGGCCCAGCACGAGCACGAGCTCATTCTACTGCGCTGGAGCAAATATTTCTAACAGCATTCAGTCCGTGCGCCATCCTTTTATTTGTTTTAAAGATATTCTATAACAATCTGCAACATTTCTGCTCTGACCTAATTATTGAAGTTAGAAAATTGTGCAGATGGATTGAGGATGAAAATAGACCCCCCCCCCCCCACTTAAAATACCCACCACACAACAGGATGAAATATTTACCGCTGCCAACAATAACAACAAATATTCATAAAATTAAAAAAGAGGGTTTATAATTATTATTATTTTTAAAATTATGGTTTCAGAAAATTATCTTGTAAAAATGAAAACTTTTTTGTGTTTATTTTTTATTTCCACCTTTAAAAAGAAATGCGAATTAAAGTTTATTCGTCATGTTTAAATATGTACTCGGCTTACGCCTTTTATATTTAATAAACAGATTAAAAGATTTGCTAAACATCCTGCCACTCAGCCCCCTGCAGAGATCCATCCTGGATTTAAATCTGGATTATTTTAGGGAGGAAAACAGCAGAAAGTGTAGATATAATATGTTTATGGAAATCTTTGCTGACTCAGCTCAGTCCAAACCTTCAAAAACAGGAGGTTAGTCTGGGTTAAACTCTGTTAACTTCACATTTAATTAACACGAATCATTGGATCACTGGGAGCACGAGAGGCTGCCAGGCACGTGCAAACAGGAAGTGCCAAGAATCTGCTGCTTGGCTTTCAGCACCTTTGCTTCAGGTGATTCCAGGATTTTAAAAAGGGGCAGAAATTACACATTTACCTGCTCCTGATGACTTTTTAAATTCATTTATTTTATTGTTATTTATTTATGTTTGTTTTATTTTATTTTTGGATAAAGCAAAAAACAACTTAACACGTGTCTGTGTGGGAATAAATACAATATTTGCTGTTTTTAGAGCTTCAGGGTGAAGCTTCTGAAAATAAGAAGACACTAATTTAATTTGTTTCATTATACTTTTTGTGCAATCATTTTATTTATTTATTTATTCAGTTAGTTTTGTTGAACTAAAATGATTGCTACATGCACAAAATGCCAAGGGTTGTTCTTTAAAATTAAATAAAAAATAACTTAAAATTTGAGCTTTGGCTTCTGTTCAGTAATGGAATTCAAATGCAATTACAGTGAGATTATTTCTAAAATAAAATGCATATTAAAAGATTTTATTACCTGATTTGTTCATACACCAAGGTACTTTGGAAATTAAGCCATGCTTAAATTTGTGGATTAGCTGATTATTTATTTAAGACATAAACAATAAAAAATAAAAATGCATACAAACAATAAAAAAAGAAGCTAAAATCAGAGTTAAAGAGGACAAATCGGTATTTTAAAATAAAACAAAACCAAATAAGTTACTTTTCTTCTGACAAATGTTGGTTAAAAAAAAAAAAAAACATTTCGTGTTGCACATTTAAAATTTTGCGCTAAAATAAGCTCCAGCCTCGCCTTGACCTTGATTTTTATCCACAAGCCGTCTCACCTCCTGATCGCTGCTTGTCACCATGCTTTCCATAAAATCATTAGGGCATTAATTAAGCTCGAGATGGAACAGGCAAACGAAATTAAGACGGAGGAGGAAAAAATCAATATGTCGTCAAAAAAAAAAAAGCTTTTGATTTTTTTTTCTTTGCTCTGAAGGCGAGCGGCTCTGAGATCAGCACCTTGGACAGAGACAGACAGCTTTTTATGTCACTAAATAAAAAAAAAAAAATACAATAATTTAATTTTATATCACATAAAACGCACGTTATTGCTGCTGAAAATAGAGAAAACATAAAACAGGATATTATAGATATCAGACCTGATTTCAGCAACAAACTGTCCAGAAAACAGGTTTTAATTAAATAGACGCACAAACATCAGTTTATTTGACTTTCCTCCAAATGTCTGAGTTTGATCTTCAGCTGTTTGTTTCTCTGGTTGTTCCTCCCCCCGGCAGAGATCCCTCAGTGTGCGGGCTGCAGTCAGCACATCCTGGATAAATTCATCCTGAAGGTGCTGGACAGACACTGGCACTCCAAGTGCCTGAAATGCGCGGACTGCCACACACCGCTGGCCGACAAATGCTTCTCCCGGGCGGGCAGCGTCTACTGCAAGGAGGACTTCTTCAAGTCAGTATCACTTCCTGTGTCTTCTGTCTGTCCTCATCATCTAAATTGGCTTTTTCCTCTCTACATATCATCTGCATGTTTCCCTATAAAACAGCATTTTGGGGGTGGGGGGCGGGGGGGGGATGTCCAAATAAGATACAATCTGAGAAATGAATCTTTATGTTCACGAGAGAGATATTTAAATGAAGTCCAGCTGGTTTTACTTATAAATTCATTATATATATATATATATATATATATATAT